AAAGAAAAATACTTGGATCCTTCCCCAAACTGTATATGACACACCAATAACTAGAGCTCATACATTTTATACTGATGAAAATAAGTCAGGAAAGGCAGATTACAAATCAGAAGATTTAAGTAAGGTGGAACAAAGCCCTTATAATTCTGTCCAAAAGGCAGAGCTATATGCTATATTCATGGCACTAAGGGATTTTAAAGAACCTCTCAATTTAGTTACTGATTCTCAATAAGCAGAAAGAGATGTCTTGCATATTGAAACCACAAAATTTGAAGATGGACACTAAAAGAAATCCCACACTAGCTCAGAATTGAGTGCAAGTAAAGGTTATTTATTTAGGGGTAGACTCACAGATCACAGTCCTCTGATTGAACAGGAAAACAGCAACTGAATCCAGAAACTGGAAGAGAGAGTGGGCCCATGATTTACATAGGCATTTATAGTGTAAGAGACCACACTCAAGTGGGCAGGTAACTTAAAGGCTACTGACTGAAGGATTACCTACAGCACCTCCCCCTTTTGTTTAAACAAGAGAGTTCTAAGCCTAATACAAAATTATACAATAAGAACAAATTTCAAGTATTAAAAATTTAATTACAACCAGCATGAACATTATCAACCAAGAAACATGTGACAAATGTTTCAATAATTATCCTATCCTAAGGAGTCTAGTCTTGTATCATAAATTACTTTGCTAAATCATAAGCGGAAATTAACTATGACTATCTAGTCTTCAACCTCATTGAAGATCAGAGAAGGGAAATAATATACTTGAATAAGCAGAGAAATCAAGCAGCTTCTAAAATGTGCAAAAACTGACAGAGACAACTGGCTACCTGGGCAGTCACCCAAAGTCTCATTTGCAACATTGGAGTAACCAACTTTGGCTAAGGCCTAGAGTAACTAAGACCATTTTCCAAGGCAGAAAATTTTTCAGAACTGTCTTACCCTGTCTTGGCAGGATTTAATAGTCTTTTTTTCTTGTATCCTGCTTGTGCTCTCCAGACATCATGCATTTTGTCAGTGGTCAATGCATGGGCAGTTCCTTGCCCAAAGGCCAGTTTTGCCAAGAAGAAAACAAGCTCCAAGTGGAGTGTCTTTGGTGCTCAACTTTCTTTCAGAAATAAATTGGGGCTTCCAGATGCAATCATGTCTCAGGTCTATAGAACCCTAACTTATTTAAATGCCATATTCTACAGCTCTTTGAAGTGGTTGAAGATTACCTGTCTATGAAGAATACAATTTCTATGTATATAAAGAATCTGATTAGTCTAACTATATGTATGACAAACAAGGATCACTATTGACCTATAATTCTTATTACCTATATAACTTCATACTAGAATATCAAACAATCATTAAACAACTGTGCAGCAATTGAGGACAATGACCTCAAAATGTAAATAATGTATAAATATCTTGATCAGAGGTAGAAATGTATAATGCAATATGATAAATATATCCTAAAATTGTATCAATATGCAAAATGTCTTAAACAGAGGTAGAAACATGCATGCATACAATATGACACAATAACTTTGCCTACGTATACCAATATTGTAGTCAAAAATAGGAACATATTCAATATAATTTAAGTTTGTACCAATATACAAGAATCTATACCAGTGTAAACTGCCTATAAATAATAGCTCACAAGTATTCACTATATTATTCACTATTATTATTAGGGTGAGCAAACTCACACTAATCTACTACCTATTATCCCATTCAATTTTCCTCTTTTTTTCAAAGAGATTCCTGAGCCTACACAATTTCTACCTCAATCCCCAAGCCTATACCAATTATAATCAACCACTGACTGATGTCCCTAACCGTGAAGACAAACTGTTGGGAGAGGGAATGTCATCTTTGAGAATTACTTCCAGCAGTCATGAGGGCAATGTTCTTTCTATGGAGTCCTATGAGAGTAAAAAGCTTGGTTAGGTTTCAAGATGACTTTCTGGTATATTTGCAAATAGTCTCTGAGTATTCAGTATGGTTTTTCTGAAGTTCCTATTTGAAGTTCTGGCCAGAACATTGTAAAAAGGTGCACCATTTCAACTAACCATGTAGGAACCATCTTGAGCAGCTGTTTCCCCCAAAAAGTATTAAAGTAGCACTACTAACGTCAAGATGTCATAGCAACCAGGTGGAGTTGTTATTGTGAGGTCCCATCTATTTCCTGGAAACTTCAAAGATTACTGCAGGAAAATTCACTGTTCATTGTGGAAAATCTAAACATTATTTATACAGATATATATTCACTGAAAGATATGATAAACATAGGTATTAAGAAAAGTAAATTTTTTTCTAAATTCCTTCTTCTTTCTGTCCCATACCAGATGGCTCCTGACATGAGACAGAAGCTCTGATTTTTTCTTTTAACAACATACTTGGATTTAGAAAAGGACAGAGCCATTGTCCAACTCCAAAGCCAGTTTTGATTTTTAAGTGAGTCATGACTATTAGTCTAATTTTTGTTCACAGATTCTTACCCTCAGATAACCTGACCTCATAAGTCATAATTCTCTTTGCTTGGTGATCCTATCTGGATAATTATCTTTTCCTCTAGATGTCCAAGGTCTCTTGACTTTTTGAAAATGAGTATTTTCCTGCAAAGACAAAAGGTGAACCCTGCGACAACTCTTATGAGGGTTCCATACCACCTGTATGGTTGTAACCTCTGTGGATTAGCTGTCATTTCTATTTCTAAAGAAATTTCTCTTTTTCAAATGAAATCTTTATTAATTTTGATGATATTCATAGCTTTCCTTCTCCTGTGCAAACAAGAGCAAAACCCTTTCCCCAACATAGCACATGTCCTGCTTTCCATCTGAAGTCAACACATCCTTGAAATGCACCAGCAGATGTAATTCAGAAGACTCTTCTATTATCCAGTGTCTCTCTGATGCTGTTGTTTCTTTCTCATTAGTATTAAGAAAATTCAAGGTTAATAAAGCAATATGTAATTTATCTCTGGGTATATTTTTAATCCCTTTCTGTCATTTTTAAAACATATCCTTTGTAGATCAATTCAATCTTTCTATAACTGCTTGACCTGTAGGATCGTCTGGTATACCTGTAATATGCTTTCTATTATAATAAGGAAAACTGTTTCATTTTCTTAGAGACGTATGCTGGACTGTTATCTATCTTTAGTTGTGCAGGTATACCCATATGGCCATGACTTCTAATAAATGCATGATTACTGATTCAGCCTTTCTGAGATCAAAGCAGTTGTGCATTGAAAACCTGAATAAGTATCAATGGTTTGGTGTATATATTATAATTTTTAAAAATCTGCAAAGTGGAAGACATCCATCTGGCAGATTTCATTCCTTTGAGTACCCTTTGGGTTAATCCCCGCAGGTAGTGGTGTTTGAATACAGAGAGAACAAATAGGACATCTCTTTATATTCCAATAGCTTGTTGGCATGTAATAGAAAACTATTTCCTTTAATCTTTGCAATTGACATGATGGGTTCTTATGAAATTCTAAGGCACCAGCAGCAGACCCAAGAAAGCAGTATGCAGAGGAGGGCCCGGGGAATATGGCACACACTTTTGCCATGCACTGTGCTGTCCCTGGGCATCACAGCCCTGGCCGTGAGGAGAGGGGGTCCAGTGAAGATGGCAAGGATCCTGGTGGGCTGTGTGGTGTCCAGGTCACTCTGGCACCCAACAAGGACTTGAATGGTCAGGCATTCTATCACTTCCTGGACTATTGTGTTATCTTTTATGGATACCCTTGCATGCCCTCCACTACACACACACACACACACACACACACACACACACACCATCTCTCTCTCTCTCTCTCTCTCTCTCTCTCTCTCTCTCTC